AATTGATTCAAAATTTTGCAGGTAGCTTTTTAATGGTAATAAGAATCTATAATAGCAAGGAATGTGTAGCGAAAATTCAAAGATATGTGAATGCTGCTTCCGGTTATTATCGATCCCGTGAAATTACCGAATCGATCAAAAGACTGCATCGCGTGAAAGGGCTGTAAATGTTCTACGTATAATAATTCATGAATCCCGTATTTCATTAATCATTGAATCGCATAATCTCATGAATAAAGCAAACCAATCGTTGAATTTATCGAATACGTTTATGATAAAGTCGGCATACGACACTGAATCGAATATATAAGTTAATCCACTTCTGCTCTCACTCGTTTCTTTGAATTCCTCGTTGAATTCCGACGACGCACTTTTTGCTTTCTGATCTGCATTCTCAAATAGCAGCAGATTAATCTACCCATCGCGTTTTAACCGCTCATTGTGCGCGTTATCAAGGCCACGAGTTTGTCGGAATTGGATTCGGCGAAAACAGGTCACAGGCACGACATTCCCGCGATCCACGTGCTGATAAGAAACGGCCTCGCGATAATCTCCGCGCGTTGGCTTCGTTGAAAAACGTTTCGCGTCGCCCGATGACAGATGCCATCGGAAAACCAGTCACCCGGACCGAAAACACGGGAGCAAAACAGAAATAGATGCACACAAAGATGACACGGTCCGTTGTAAATACTACCCTGATATCATCTATGAACGAGCGTGCACGGGCGATTCACAGAGATGAATAAAATATGCAATTTACTTTCGCAAAATCCCTTCCCCAATTCCGGTCCGGATAAACCCTAATTAACGCCTCGCCACGTTCATCGTATAATCAGTTTTTTTTTTCACCAGCACGCGAATAATGCCACGGGAAATTCTGGGGAATTGTTTTCCCCTCGCATTACTCTTCTTTTAACCATGAATGAATGCTAATTGACATCGGAAAAAAGCTCGTTCGTTTAAATTCGCGGTGTGATATCAATCAGTAGCTCGATATTTCAACGATTATGGATCGTCGAAATTCGTTGATGTCGCAATTTTTATAGAGTGTTGAGTGACTAATTAAGGATCAGCTACTTCAGTTAATTCTATCGATCGATCACGCACTATTGGTAAATTGCCGGTGTAGAATACTTGTCGCGTTGGTGGATAAAAATAGGAAGCAAACTTGCTAGATAACATTTTCTAAGCGCGCATTGTACCACGTATTACGACGTATGTATCGCAGATAAATCCGTATAAATCGGTTCTCCGGGGCCATGGATAGATCCTTCGTGGGCGTTAGATCATTGTGATTCGCGATCCTGGATCCTGGATCATCC